AGACACAACGGAAGATTATGTTTTCAGTCGGTTAAGTTGAGGGAGGGATCTGTTTTATGTTTTCACATGTGCAAGTTTTGTCTTAGTGAATTAAGATAAATATCAGTTCCACAGATTGTCTTGTCACTTAATTTAGCCAGACCTTAACCAGTTGGGCGTGTTGCCTAGTAGCTAAGAGGGAGTTAGGGTCGGGTGCATAGAGGAGTTTATTTTATAAGTTTGAAGGAGTCACGTCTAGATACTTCGGAAAAGCCAACAATCAGTTCCAATCTGAGTGGATTGGGTTTCCAGACCTTAAGATATTCTTAACTGGGTCCCACCTACAAGGTTATATGCTGCTCTTATCAAAACCCATCAGCACATCACGCACATTTGGCTGTGATGCATGTGCTTGGTATACGCTTTTCAGACTGTATGACATCGAGCTGCTTTTTGTCAGGTTGCTCCCTCACTCAATAATAATAATAATAATAATAGTAATGCCAATGTTTCTAAAAAACGAATTTCAAAAACTTTCAAATTATAAGGACCTGCAAATCGAAGTAACAAAAATGTGCAAATATAAAACGATTATCGTTGTTAGGATAGGATCATTGGTTAGGATAAAGAAAGTTACCGAAAATCATGTGAGTAAAATTCTTGGACTCATCAGCATCTCAGAGCTACAAGACATTACTTTGTGCTGAACGGCACATATCATCTACAAAACCCTGTCGATCTAAACGAAACGTCCCACATGTGCATAAATAACTCTCCTACAGTGCCCTTTTCACTCTTGGTAATTAGGCACTTAAAGTTACTCTTTGAAAAGATGATACCACACACACAATAATAATAATAATTGTTGTAGCATACCTACGGACGATAATGGGGAGGTCCCCATTCACATAAATACAGTAGTAAATACTGTATGTTGGTCTGCAGTTGGAGAGAGGATACCCAGACGAGGCTATGTCGAAGGGCAGAAGTCTCGTCTCGGGAAACAGCTACCTGACCTCGTATAAAACGGGGTCTACGGGTAATTTTTGGCCGAGCCTACGGGCTCGGATACATCACATTAATTTCGGTCTTGTGCCACATCTGACCGCATGGGGCGGTTGGTAGATATTCTGCAGTTGGAGATTCATTGTGGAATTCACTTGACTCATTTCTATCAGTTGACTACTTATTCTACGCGCCGCTGGCGAATCATATATGTGTTGTTTTGGTCCTAAGTATTTTTGTTCATTACCAATATTCGTTTGATAATTCTATTCAGTAACCTTCCCTAGGTTACAATAATAATAATAATAATAATAATAATAATAATAATCTATTAAAATTTGATTAATATTTATTATTTAACTTACAAATGAATTTTAACATTGCAGGATTCTGATGAGTGGAGTTTCTCTTACAGACAAAGAAAGGTAAAAGTATAGCAATCGTATAAAACGATGATTACTTTTTATATATGCCTTTTATTCCTGTAGAATTTTTCATCAGATTAGAAAAATTAGACAAATTAACAAACAATTTCTTAAACTTGAAAATACATATTCTGGGAAGATAATGAACTTCTAAAATCCGTATCGTTCTCATTTTCTTTCACTTTCAGTAACCTCTTGTTTTTAGAGGCTTGATCTCTTTGCTTGGGGTGAAATGATTAAAAAAAAATTATGCACAGAGCAAAGAAAAATTATGCTAATTTAATAATTTGCCTCTTTGAGTTGTATCAATAAAAATATGTTCATTATCTCTGATAATACATATAAGTTACTGTCATGTGAATAGCAAGCCCTCATATTACCCATGTGTTCAATGCAGTTTTCATGGAAACTTGAATATTATAAAATTCTGGCTAAACTGTGGTGCTGTTTACTGGCTGTAACTTAATATCTAACATAATGGAATGTCAAAAATAGAAACTTCAATGAAACCAAAGTATGTTTGATACACGGGAAATTATGAAAGTTAAAATGTCTTTTACATTGGAAATATTTCTCTCTAAAATACAAAATATAACAAGATTTTAAATGATGTAAGCATAAAAAGTGTTCTTTCTTTTACAATGATTGTTCACTCTGTAAAAGACCCGGGAGCCACTCTAAGTAGAGGGTCACATTGTAAGAGACATAGTTTATAGGGATATGTGGAGAAAATAATGGTTAACCTTAGACTTGAACAGGTTAGAATTGTAATGAACGTGGAAGCATCATCTTGAGAGTCAGATTGTGGTTTGTGGGAAGAATCTGTTCCAGTAGTACTTACATCGCACCAACTAAATACGAAGAGAATGAAAGTGGTTCCTTAAAATGGGCGTGGCATAGCGGGTTCGATCAGATAAGGTTAGGACTGGTGAAACTAAGGAGTGTAGATAGTCAAAAGACTTTTCATGGAAATAGCGATACAGCTGCAGCGTTTTGTCTGTGGGAAAGCGGTTGTAGGGTGGAAAATAATTCATCACCCAAAGTACGCGGGGGCGCTTTTGGACTCTATCGAGATTGGGAAGGGAAGACTGGGTAGCTTCTGCTCATATAGACAGGGTGTTTCAAAAAATGTATACACACTAGCCGTAACACTGTAAGAGGCTATCCTGCCACGAATTACAGATGTTTTGGGGGATGGGGAGTTTTATTTTCAGAAGGTGATGTACCACCACACTACCATCATGATGTACGATCGTACCTGAATGAAATTTTGCCAAACAGATGGATCGAAACCCGAGTTTCTGTAGAATATCCTCCTCGTTCAGCGAACCTCACGTCTTTGGAGACTTTGGAGATACTTAAAAGATAATGTCTACACAGTAATGGACAAACAGATTAATCTCAGTAACCATTATTCTACGCCGAGGCACCGTGACGCGACAGAAGAATGACAAGAATACCATGGATAGAACATGTGAATAACGAGGAAGTTACATGTGTGTGTTAATTTCTCCAAACCTTCTTTTAATTACAGCTGTCTCTTTCTGATTGTTAGCAGCAGTTATCTTGTTTTTTTTATTCTCCTTAAAACTTCCTCGTTATTCATATGTTCTATCCCTGGTATTCTGAGTAATGACTTCGATCTTCACTGGTTTTAACATACAAATTTCGACATTAAATAACGGGACAAAGGTTGACATGTTGTAAAATCAATCAACCTAACTTAATGTCTGTCGCTTCAAGTCTCTTCTTCATGTTTAAGAAATAGTCCAATATTATTTGTCATATAAGTAATTAAATCTACATAGTAGTTCAGCACTGTTTTCTTAGTCTCTAACGGCATTTTCCTGTATATTAATACTTTACTTTCCGAAAGGCACTTTCTTTAATCATTAAAGCGACCACTTCTATAAATTTTAGTGGTACTCTAAATGTAAGAAGCTATATGCTTTTATCAACTGTCATATTTGCCAGTACTTTATCTTACACTGAAGATCGCTTGAAAACTAAGAGTTTTACTCTAAACGTTTGCGGCCAGAATTTTGTTGTTTTATACAATAAATTTTCTTTTCAATCCCCAAGCTAAATATCTATTAATATTTTTCGAAATCGTCATATTTCCGTATAAATATAGATGCTGAACTCGAATTAACAATTACAATTATGATAAAAAATTTGGAGTTATCGACCAGAAAAAAAAAAAAGATTTGATTCCGCCACCATTACCGGCTTTGTGTAATTAGATTCACTGCGGATCACTTACGTTTATTTCCGTAGTGCAATCATAACTCTTTTTATGTAGTTTTATCATAATTGTAATTGTTAATTCGAGTTCAACCTCTACATATGACGATTTCGAAAAATATTAATAGATATTTAGTTTGGGAATTGAAAACAAATTTACCTTTTATACTAGTTATTAGGATCTAAATATATCTAAATAGATTTTTATTTATACTAGTTAGTGGAAACAAAATATTTCCGGTTCGAATCCTGTCTTTTTATACTAGCTAATTAGTTTTAACTATATGGGGTCAAAATATTGTCTTTTTATACTAGTTAGTGGGATCAAAATATTGGAATCTTCTCTCTTTATAATAGTAGGTTCTAGATATTTGGGCTGAAATCCTGTTCTTTTATGATAGTGAGATCAAAAGACAGGTTTGGCTAATTTTTGACTTGTATAAAAGAAATATTTTTCTGGTTGGCAAAAAACTAATTGAATGTTACTAGAAAACTCCATTCTAATATACATTAATTAATTGCATCTTATTTACATTATTCGACATTCATTGACAAGGAAACATGACCCAATGGATAAAGTCGTTGACTAGATCCAGTGACTAAATCCCAAGAGTTGTGATTTCAATAACCAGATGACAGCAGAGGTGAACCAAAAAAAGATGCAGAATTAAGTTGAAGGGAATTAAACTGAAACATCCGGAAGAGGTATGTGCAACGGCCGAAATGTTGTGAATATGGCAATGAAGATGAGGATAACATTTCGAATAATGTAAATAATGTAAATAATCATAATAGCTCATCTCAGAGATATAGACAGATCATTGCATCTTTCAGAAAAATCCCCGTTGCCAGTCAATCTCAGAAACGTGGGATTCGGATGGATACACTAATTACACACCGTCCTTTGAATCAGTAAGTTATTTCTTAAAAATCATTTTCCATTTGAACAACCTAATTATTTAATTATCTACATAATGATAAAGATAAAGAATAAATCATTATCTGGTTTTACTCATTTATTTAAATATTAATGTTCACCCAATACAAGGCCCAACAGCCACCCAAGTAGAGGGGTGATTGATTGATTGATTGATTTGTTTGTTACGATTATCAAACTTTTGCGGATTATTTCAAGCCAGAAAATATTTTTAGATTGTAGGAATTTTGGGGAGATGATAAAGATTTTTACTAAAACAAGACATAGTAATTAACTAATCCATAACTGATATGAGAAGAGATGAAATACTACCTTTCCTAAAAGTATTTGTGAGTAAATGAATATAACAAACCCGACTGGGTTCACCGATTTCCAAGCTGTTACCCATTGCACCATATGCACGTCCATGTTTACAGCACCTGGTATTCCCAAGCAGTCACCTATCTAGATACTGACCAGGTTCGACGTTGCTTAACTTCGGTGATCGTAACAGAACCAGTGTTGAACCGTAAGCACAAGGTAGAGGGTTACTGTATGATGTATGAGTATAAGAAAATGCAAGGGGTGGTCTATGGAGCGATGCAGGAAAGATAACGGTTAACCTTGAAGAGGCCAAGATTGTAGTTATTGGGAAAAATCCTGCCGGGTGTCTGTCTCGCAAAGCAGCAAAAGAAGCAGTCCGAATGGAACATATTTCTTTATAAAGGCATAAGAGGGAAATTGGGATGATTCCCCCTTGTTTTGTGGCATGGCAGGTCCCGGTTGTAAAGGTCAGTCGTAGCGGGACTAAAAATGTAGCTCAAGAGAACACATATCATGGAAATAACTATAGAACAGCGAGAGGCTCCCAACGTTTCGTCTGTGGAATAAGGGTTGTAGAGTGGAATATACTTCATCAAGACAGACTAGACAGTTCCGGCCTAAATATGGCAGCAATACTCTGTTTTTGATCTGATCTGGCTCTTGTAAAGATAAAGTATAGTAAAAGGAGTACAGGGTGCAATGGATAAATTATCATCTGAATTACGCAAAAATGAAAATAACACTAACATCACATTTTAAAAGATATTTTTACCAAATACTAAAGAGTAAATTTATTCAATAAAATCGTCATTGGCTTCAACCACGGTCTCCAAACGGCTTTGGAATTTCCTGCAACTCTTCTGGACGGTCTCCCTGTTTAAGTTGGTGAATGCACCCAAAATCCTTACTTTCAGTTCATCTTTGGTGTTACAAAGAGTTTTGTTGGTCTCTTGCTCAACTGCGCCCTACACATAGTACTGAAAGAAGTTGCAGTCTGGGGAGTTAAGTGGCCAGATGTGGTCGCAGAATTTGTGTGGGAGCTATGACTGGCTTCTCCTGCTTATGCAGCATGGTACAGAGTCTTGTTGCCAGACATAGGGTCTTCCAGCAGTCACCCTCTTGACCTGCGGCAGCACTACTTACTCAAGACACTTGATGCAGATCCCCTTGTTGATTCTGAGGCTCTGTGGGAAGAGAAATGGAGGCATAATCATTAGAATCATCCAACTTTCCAAATCCTCTGCACTGTCCTCAGATTGACACCAAAACACTCTGAAATGTTTGTTTTAGAGCTTCCGGCGTGAATACCAAACAGTACAGTATGCTGGTTCCAAATATCTGGCCGAGTGAATTGCGTCACAGAGGTCTTTTTCTCGCAGCTGATGGCCAGTTGACCCTACTATATTGTGTAGTCGACAAAATCAAAACCAAACAACACGTGCGCATGAAATTAAAAATCTAAAATGGCGACAATTTACCCATCGCACCCTGCACTTACTAGAGCGGTACGATGAACCAGCGGTAGCAAAGTTTGGTAGTGCTGGTGCTTCCAGTAATAATTACAGTGCAGTTTTCAAAATATAGCGTTCATGTTAGATAACTAGTATCAAGTTACGGTTGCTCTGACAATGTTATTTGGGAGGGAGGGGGGCATGTTTCAATGAGTTGTTCATTGTAGTTGGTTACGTTTAAGAAAACCTGATGAGAACGCTTACAATAAACTTCATTCTCAAATAGATCTCTATCTATAAAAGGCAGGGTGTGTGTGTGTGTGTGTGTGTGTGTGTGTGTGTGTGTGTGTGTGTGTGTGTGTAACGAATGCACGGCCGCAATTTTCGACGGATTTGCACCAAAATTTACATGCACAAGTTAGCGGGAAGGCCAAGACCGACTTTGCATTTCCCAACTCCCATCGATAGTGGAAATAATCGATTTTTTTTTCATGCTTCTACAGCAGTTTTCATGCAGTTTGCGGCCATTTTGTACTGGCCAGAGTGAGAGCCAATAGCTGGCTGCCACAAATAGGCAGGAAGATTCTATTGGCCACCGTGAGAGCCAACAGCTGACTGACACGAATGTTTACTAGCATGCTAGCATGCAAAAAAAAATCGATAGCTGCATTCGTGGGGAAAAATTAAATCTCCATGGCACTTTACTCCAATTGGCTCATTCGCTTGCTTAAACGCAACGTTGATTCTGATTCCGCAGAACTGGGTTGGATGTGAAAAAGTATTTGTTGTTAACATTCTTTTTTCATTCGGTTTTTCCAGTTACGAGTCCTTTTTTAAAACTGATCGTTTTGTGTTCATTTTGTTTAGTTCTTTTTTCGTAACCGATTTAATCTTTAGTATAAAGCTTAGAAAAAATTCGCAGTGTGAGATAGGCAAGAAGTAAGGCATGTAGCAACATCAACACAGCAAAGGGCACTCCTTTAAAAGCAAGGAAGGGCAAAAAATATTTTAAGTCAAGTGATAGCGATTGCTGTATGAGTCGTACGATTTTTGAATCAAGCACGGGCAACGCCGGGCCATGCTGCTAGTTAATTAATGAAAAAGAGTGGGTTTCTGATATTATCGTGCCTATGACGAGGGTAGTCATGGCTCTCCCCAACCTCCAATCACTTGTAGCTCTTAGCAACGTGGGCTTACTGTCATATCGCGTTGAAACACCGGTTCTCGTACAATCACCGAATTTAAGCAACGTTGAAACTAGTCAGTAACTAGATGGGCAACTGCTGTAAGCTTGAATGTGCGGGTGGTGTAATGGATATTACATTATATAATGTTATATTCACTTACGCCCAAATACCCATGGGGGATATATGGTTTATTTTAGTAGAACTTGTATCAATAAATCATTATTATCCCCCCCTCCGAAATTCTTACAATGTAATATTTTCTGTTTTTAAATAATCCGCAAAACATTGATACGCCGTAAAAAATAAATAAATCAAAACATATAATGTTTGTACCTTTGCCATCCCCACCACCCGTTGTTCCACCATCAATTCATACAAGTTAGTCAGCAGGGAGGTGGTCCGCTGCATTCCCATGTCACTTATGCCTTCGCTAGATCCCTGTGTATTTCAAATTCTCAAAGCCCTCTTTCCGCATTAAGTGTCCAAAATTTCAGCTCTTTTTGATTCTGAGTATAAGGGTCCTTTTTGTTTCCATTTTCCTTTTCCTTAAAACTGCCTCATTGCTTACGTGCTCTGTTGTGTTGGAATCTCTCCTTTTTTCAGTTAATGAGATTAATGCAGGGGCCATTCTTGAACAATTTCTATTAAAGTCAGAAGGGCTAGCTTCAGATAGTAAAAAAAAGAAAATGTTTTTCATATATATGTATGAGAGATTCTCTGATAGATTTTCAAACCACTTATATAAATTAGGTACATGCGCATAGATCACGACAGACACAGGGACTTACCATTGATTATCATAGGTGAGAAGCTCTAAGATGGCGACATTGTTAAACCGCTATTTTTAATCATTTCACCCCAAACAAGGCAATAAATTCACTAAAACGCAAAATTCAGAGTTACTGAGTTTTAAAGACTATGAGAAAAGGAAAACATTATTAATGTGAGAGAACAATAAAAGAACAGGAATTAAAAAGATGAAAAATAACGATTAACATTGCATTTAATTTTTTCAAGATCAAAGTTAACTGGAAAGCAAGAGGCCGGAAAAGAGTTCCACAAACGAGAAGTCAGGGAGAAGAAACTCTTGGCATTTAGTTAGATTTCGCCATTTCAGGTGAAATATGGATGAAACTTTCCTGCCAAACTAGTCTTCTTCTTCAATCTACCGTTATCATGACTCGCCATAATTTCTTGACCTTTGTAGCTCTTAATAATTTTTGTTGTTTGCTATCTCACCTAAAACTTTCTCCGCCATCCATTTACTCAAGCTCATTCTTCTTTTATGTGCCGTGTCCCTTCAAGATGTTGGCGATCATGGCTCTCCACAAGTTTCCATCCTTTGTAGCTCTCAATAAATTTTGTCTTTTTGTTATCTCTCCTAAACATTGTTTCGCCATCAATTTACTCAAACTAGTTCTTCTTCTATGTGCCGTGTCACTTCAGGACGTTGGCGATCATGGCTCTCTACAATTTTCTGTCCTTTATAGCACAATAAATTTTGTCCTTTTATTATCTCTCCTAAATATTCTTCCGCCATCCATTTACTCAAGCTCGCCAGACAGGTTATGTGTTGCTTCCTACTCTCCCTTCAATCTGCCTTGTGAGTATCAAATTTTCCAAGATGAAATTCATAAAGTCTACGTACCTAATCTGGAAGCTTATCATAACAATTACTATGAAAATACTTACAGAAAGGGCACAGGGAAGATACGTTAAGACTGTGGCGAAAATTACATATGCATTAGTACATGTAAATATATGAATTAATGCAGATGTTTTGATCGTGTACTGTTGCTTGTAAAATGAGAAGTAACTAAGAAAAATCAGCTTTGAGCACACCACTGATCAATTTGCTTCATTGGATCGAAAGAAGAGGCAGTTGTCATGATGTCATATAATGTTTATTTCTAATTAAGGATCAATGATCTTGATTTGTATTTTTGAGCTGATATTTTGTCAAAGTCATCCAAAAGCTATTTAGACAGGGGCACAATTTTAGTGTTTGCCATAGGCCCTATTTTCTTTTGTTAAACCCTTAGAGATATCTATGAAATTAATGTTGATTTGTTGTACAATCGTTTATTCGTGAAACTTTTTAATGAGCCAAAGTGAGAATTTAAAATGTTTTTCCGGTTTAAATGCTTTACTGGGGTAACGTCTTTATTTGTTCAGCGGTGAGAAAGAGCTATGAAGTGAAACTTTTGATTAAAACTAAAACCGAAATAGACGGATAACTTTAAAAATAATAATAACTTTTGATAGTCATTAAAAGTTAATTGATATTTCAGATTCTTTTTTTTTTAAACATTTTTCTTTATTTTCTGCAGCCATGCCCCAGATTTTGTTTTAAACTTTTATATATTCTGTTTCCTTTCAAAACCAACGCAAAGAAACACCATGAACACAGATCGATGAACCGGTCCAGGAATGACGCTAAAGCCACTTCGCGAAACAGTTATTATCACGAACAGGTAATTCCTGATAAAGTTCTTAAAATTATTTCATGTGTGATATTTATTAATACAGAATATATAGAAGAGGGAATAATCTTTATACATTCATT